TGTGCGTGGGAGGGTCCGCCTAAGAGGAAGTACGTTCGTAAGAACTGATACATATACTTTTTGTGCGTGGAGCGTCTTCCCCTTTTGCGCAGCAACACCTTAAACTTTTAGGCCCTCCAAATTCGGGTCGGAGCGTAGCGGAGTGGGCCCCGAGTTTGAAAAAGGGCGACGGACGCTTGCGTCCTAGCCTCCAACAACGCCTCCCCGGCGCAGAGGGGCCCCCGGAGGGATGCTCAACCGCTCCACGCCACGCCGCTCGCGGCGGTCCTATTCCCAGCTCGCTGAGGGCTCGTGCGTTATCTTCTTCTCCGGTGTGCCACCTTCGACTCTCCACGGCACTGCGAGCTCTCCATACGCCCTCTGAACACCACACCAAACACATCGGTCGCCATGACCGCCCTCCTCGGCAGCCTCGCCGTTCTAGCCTTCACTCAGCCGCCGATCGGCAGCCTCGCCGATCGCCGATCGCTGCTTCGCGCCGGCTCTGCCACCGCGCTCGGCTCCTGGCTGCCGCAGTTCATGCAGCCGCCCGGTGCTGCGAGCGCTGCGCGCCGCCTGCCAAAGGCAGCCAAAGGCGCGACCAATGAGGTTGTGAGGACGGTCAATGGCATTCGCCACAAGCGCATGGGCGGCGGAGACCTCGTCGTCTCCGAGATGGGGCTGGGCACGCAGCGCTGGTGCACATCGCCCTCCCGCACGCTGCCACGCCCAGCGCCCGCTCGCGATGCCTCACCGACCCGCGGTCACGACTTGCCTTCGCAGGGGCAGCGGCGACTTCAACGCGCCGGACGAGGCGACCTGCCTCTCGTTCCTCGACCGCGCCATTTTGGAGGGTGGCATCAACCTCATCGACACGGCGGAGCAGTACCCGATCCCGAGCACGCGGGCCAAGCCCGAGGGCGACACCGAGCGCATCATCGGCAGGTGGCTCGCGCAGGACAAAGCGCGGCGGCAGCAGGTGGTGATTGCGTCCAAGATCACGGGCGGGCAGAACGTCAACGCCAAGAACATCATCGCCGACTGCGAGGGGTCGCTCCGGCGGCTCGGCACCGACTACCTCGACATCTACAACCTGCACTGGCCCGCGCGCTACTCTCCGCAGTCCAACTGGGGGCAGAGCCTCGAGTACAAGCAGGAGGTCGAGCTCTACTCGGGCGGGCGGGCAGACTTTGGCGAGATCGCAGAGGCGATGGGCGCGCTGGTGAAGCAGGGCAAGATCCGCGGGTGGGGCATGTGCAACGACAACGCGTACGGCCTCGCCGCCAGCTGCTACGCGGCTCGGGCGCTCGGCGTGCCGCCGCCTGTCAACATGCAGAATGACTACTCGCTAATTAACAGGAGGATCGATGAAAACGGCCTCGCCGAGGCGTCGAGTCCCGTCCACGAGAACGTGGGCTTCATGGCGTACAATGTGCTGGCCGGCGGCGTGCTGACTGGCAAGTACCTCGAGCGCGCCGCGGCGGTGGACGACCCTGACCAGGCGTCGGCGAGGAGGTCGCTCGAGGCGCCGCGTGGCCGCATGGACGAGCGCGGGTGGGGCTACACCTTGTACCGGTACCGCAGCGGGCCGGCGGCGGAGGCGACCCGCGCCTACAGCGCGCTGGCCAAGACGTACGGCATGTCGCTCACCGAGCTGGCCTGCCGGTGGACCAAGGAGCGGAGTAGCGTCACCACAGCACTGCTCGGCCACACGTCCCTCGCGCAGCTCGACGAGACGCTCAGGTACTACAGCAAGAAGGAGCCGCTGCCACCCTCGCTGCTGTGGGAAATCGACCGGGTTCACATGCGCAACCGATTGCCGATCTTCTCTTCCACGGGCGGCGGCGGCGGCGGGGGGCGGGGGGGGGCGGGGCGGGCGGGCCGTGCCATTGTGTGCAACTCGACTTTGCCGTTTCAGATGATCGTCGAAAATCGCACGTTCAGGAATTCGTGGAGCTCGCGCACTCTTCTTTCCACTTTCGCCAGCTCTCTCTCTCTCTCTCTCTCTCTCTCTCTCTCTCTCTCTCTCTCTCTCTCTCTCTCGTCCAAGGTCAGGCAGGGTCTGAGTGTCTTGTGTCTTGTTTGTTTTTGGTGGTTCTGTGTGTCGCTCCTTCCTGTGTGACCGTCACCGCCCGTCCGTCTCGCGTCCACCCATACCGCGTTGGTGCCCCAGTCGTTGGTCCGGACTGTGTTTTGCCTTCCTATTCTACCTATCTATCTGTGACCTGTGTGGACTTAACAAACAGCCAGCCTACCTACCTAGCTAGGCAGCCAGCCAGCCGCGAGCCCGGCGGCGCGCGGGGTGGGGTCGGTGTGTTGGTGGGGATCCATCCAAGGAGAGACAGCTCAGGCAAGAATGAAGACGTCACACAGACATCTGACATCTCGCTAGGCCTAGGGCAGAGCCAGAGACGTCACTCTCTCTCTCTCTCTTGGTATTCACACTCACACTCCCCCACAGCCCATTGTGGATGCGCGCCGCGTCCGCGTGCACATTTGAGCGATTCTAAGATCAGGTCTGGCACCTCCCCACTGGAAACGAACATCTGAGTTTCAAATCTCGAATAAATCTCGAAGCACACTTGAATGCTCACTTGGCAGGTAACATATGCGCCACGCGCCCCAACCGCTCCTCTGGTCGCCGCCGGCCTCCGCGGCGGCGGCGATGTCCCAGCGCCACCCATCGGCCAGCCCTCAGAGATCGATCGATCGGCGCTCAAAGTCGGCTTCAGATCCGAGAACGCTGCTGGCGCCGCCGCCGATCCCAGCGGCGACGCCAGCAGCTTCCTCTGCTCTCCAATGCGCCGAGAAGCGACGCGGGGGTGCTCGGCCCGCCATGGACGACGAAGCTCCGCCGGGCGCGCGTCGGCCGGTCCGGTGGCACCCTCTGCGCGCGGCACCTGCCGGCGCCCCGACGACAGCCGTCGCGCCACCGCTGATGGAGGGGCGGTCGGCGCCGCGTGCCGCGCGCCGCGCCGCCGGGTGGGAGGGGCACTGGTGGTGGCCTGCCTGGCTTCGAGCGGGGCTGGCGGGGGCCGCCCCGTCGCGGTATTTTTTTTTCTACTAAGCAAATTCCGAGCCAATTGAGGAAACTCTAGCTGGCAGGCTGGAAGCACTGAGGGACGGCCGATTTCCGCCCAGTGCCCCAGTGGCAGGCCTGATCTTTCGCTCATTTTTGTGGAAGCGATTTGATCGGTGTGCGTGTGTCACGACCTTCGCGCGGGGGCGCGAAACACGAAATGACAACTCCTCCTCCGAAATGCTCAATTATAGTGCGTCAGTCTGTGGTTGCGCGGTGAATCAGGTAACGGGTCGATGCCACCCTCGCACCTGGACCTGGCGAATGCCCGGTGCTCCCGACGCCAGCAATGCTCCTCGCTTCTCGGCTACACACAGCCCCAAGAGCTGCGCGTTTGCCCGTGTGTAATCCTCCACGTGGCGCCGCACAAGCTGCTCTTGTCGATGGCCTGAGCGGTTGGTGCGGCGGAAGACCCTCGCGACCTGATCGGCGGACGGCTGCAAGTTACAATGAGAGGTAGGAAGGCGGGTTGGGGTGTAAGGCCATCTTGTGAGTCTCCTCTGTCCCGACACACCTCCTCGCGGAAGCCTCTCGGAGGGTTCCCGCTCTGACCGAAGCCGAGCCACTCGCCCAAGTCGTGCGGCACTGCCGACGGCAGCCGGTCGTAGTCGAGGTGTCGATAGAAGGCGCTGTCTATCCGTTCGAGCTGCGGCACCATCTCCTCACGGATAATCTCCGTGAACATCTTGAGTGCGGATGTCGCCTCGCCGCTGAAAAAATGCGAGCGGCCAACAGCAGATGCCACCACGTCAAAGGCATTCCGCACGAGTACCTAGACGAGTAGAGCGGGCGCTGGCAGTTAGCCATTCGAGGAGACGGGCGGAGCTGCACAGTCCCCACGCTCGCCAGGATTCTCAGATCGGCGCCGTGGCTCTCAAAAATTTCGGCAAGTATGCGCACGTTTGGGACCTGAGGCAAGGGACACAGCAGCCACCTCGGCACGGGCCCATTTCGAGGTGGCCCCGGTCCGGTGCGAGTGACCTGGTGACGCTTGCACGCGCCGCCATAGTTTGGGTAAGAGAGCATGCCTGTTCCGGAATCAGTGAGTCGCTGAGGTGTGGAGAGAGGGAGACGCCAGGGGAGGCCGCAAGGAGAGCAGACCAGTACCCCAGCCCATTATAGTGTTGACGGAGATGAGGCCTCCGCTCCCCGTACGCAGGAGCGCGATGCTACGCCCAATCGACCGCACCAGCCCGGGGAACTCGCCACGGGAGGCCGACCACGGCCGGCTGCTCTTGTTGGCCGCCTGCTCGAAACGCGCGCCAAACAAACCTCGCCGGCCCTACCGAAGGATGGGAATTGAGCGGCGATCCGGTGGGTCCGAGCCTACCCAGCCTCCAAGGGCAATGCACCTTGTCGCTTGAGAGCAGCTTGCGGAGCGCCGCGGCGTCGCGGCATCGCGTGTTACCCGACTGCGCGGCGCAGTTCCCAAAGACGCGCTGCAGCAGGTGATGCCCCGACGACTCGACCCCCATCACAAACACGAATCGGTGGCTCGCGACAGCCGTCTTCGGAAGGACACGTGGGTAGCCTCGAGGCTCATCGGAGGGTCCCTCGTCTAGGTGGTGGCAGGTGGGCGCGTCGGGGCCGCGGCCGAAGCGGTCGCGCCAGCGGTGGTGCTGCAGTTTGGAGACGGTGGCCACGGGACCCGACGCGGTGGCCACCATCGACGGTCGGACGCAAGTTAGGGACGTGTCACGTGAACTCGAGTGAACCTAAAATTGCAGAGGCGGTTAGTGGTGCACTAACCCCGAGAAACCCTTCGGGTCACTCCTCATCGCAAACCCTGTCAGCAGTCCTCCTCCGGGAATGTACGTAAGAGCCACATACATTGAAAATGTTTGGCCGTTGCCACCTACCTGGCGAGCTGGGGTGTGGAATAATGGGAACCTTTCCCTCCCTCATGTCAGGAAAAGAAAAAGCCTTGCTCAGGAACTGGCTCATGGCCGCCGATCGCTCGTGGGCCTCTCGATGGTGCCGGGCGGGGAGCGAGCCGCTCGACGAGGTGCTGGTGCGCGACGTGGAGGAGACGCAGCGGCCGCCGATTGCTCGCTACTTTGCCGAGGAGGGCAACGCCTCTCCCGCCTCGCCTCGGCTACAGCGCGCCACACAGCTCGAGTTGCTGAGGCTCTGCTCCAAGGCGCCGCATTCGGCGACGCGCGAGGCAAACCTCGCTGCGCTGGCCGCTTCTCGGCAGCGATTGCTGCAGGCGGACGGCGAGGATCTGGGGCAGGAGGACGAGCTGGCCGACGAGTTGCGTGCCTTTTGCGCGAGGCACGCGCTGTGGCCGCACGGAACAGAGACGCTCGTCCTGCGGCACTTCCGCGTCGGTGGCCGCGGCCTCGCTGCTGCAGCCGACCTGTCTGCCGGCGACACCGTCCTGGCGGTGCCAGAGTCGCTGCTGCTGTCGAGCGAGAGGCAGCGGCGAGGCAACAGCTCCGCACTCCGCCCGATGCCTGGTTGTGAGGCCCTCCCCGCCACACGCCAGGCTCTCGTCGTACGACGGCCTCGCCGCCGCCTTGTCTGCCGCCGCCGGCGACTCGCTCCACGACGACGTGCGGCTCAGCCTCGCGCTGCTGCTCGAGATTGCGCGAGATCAGGCGGGCGCGTGGGCCGAGTACTGCCGCTTCCTGCCCGAGCGGCCGCCGAGTGCGCTGCACTGGGCCTCGCGCCAGCTGCAGAGGCTGGCGCACACCCCGCTCGTCGGCCGGGTGACTGCGGCGCGCGAGGCGCTGCGCGAGGCGCACGCAGCCCTCCTGCCAGCCGCACGGCGGGGACGCTTGAGTGATCTCACCCTTGTCGCCAGGCGCACGCAGCCCTCTTCCCGGCGCTGTCGCTCGCGCTGCCGCAGCTCTTCCCGCCGGCGAGCTTCTCGTGGCGCCGCTTCCTCTGGGCGTACACCGTCGTGCAGACGCGCGGCCTGGTCGTTGGCGGCGGCGCGGAGCCGCGCGCACGCCGCACGGTGCTCGCCCCCGTGGCAGACTTGCTCAACTACTCGCCGACTTCGCCGCTCGCGTGGCCGTCCCTCGAGGCTGCGGGCGCCGCAAGGCCAACGGGGCCGGTGGCGGAGGGGCCTCCTTCAGCCACGCTCGCACTCACGTTCCGGCTGCTGAGCGCGGTGCCGGCGGGGCGGCAGCTCTGCCTCTACTACGGCCACCCGCTCGCCGCTCGAGAGTCTCGAGCTCGGGGGGCCCTTCCTGGGCCCTTCCCCGAAGCTTCTCGGAGCCTTCCTGTAGGCCGCCTCTCCTCGCTCGAGAGCCTCGAGCACTATGGCTTCGTGGACGCGTCGGCCCTGGAGCGAGAGGCGGTCGAGCTGTGCCTCGAGCCTCCGGAGGAGGAGGGCGAGGAGGGCGAGGAGGGCGAGGAGGGCGAGGAGGGCGAGGCCGACGCGGAGGGCGGCGAGGAGGGCGGCGAGGAGGAGGGCGGCGAGGGAGGGGACTGGGCGGCGGCGGCGGCGGCGGCGGCATCCGGTGGCGGGGCGGTGGCTCTGCTCCGCCGCGCCGCCCTCGCGCGAGTTGGGACGACGCACTACTTGCGCGCGAGCGGACCGCCGAGCCGCCGCCTGCTGCGGGCGCTCCACTGGGGCACCGCGCCGGCGGAGGAGCTGCTGCCGCTCGCGCGCGCCGGCGCGGATCCTGCGGCGGCGCCGCTGACGCGCGAGGCGACGGGCCGCGCGCACGAGGCCTTGCGCGCCATCCTCGCCTCGCTGGGAAAGCCTGGCGGCGGCGAGGAGGGCGAGAGCGGCAGGGCGGCCGACGTGCAGGCGGCCGGGCCGGGCGGTGACATCAGCGCCTATCTCGCGTTTGAGAGGGCGGTGGTGGTGAATGCGCACCGGCATCTCGGTGTGGCGGAGAAGAGCGCTGCGGAGACCTAGACTACCTCTAGAGCAAACTAGACGCATCGCGAAATACGCTTTGTGGCAGTGTGGCTGCGCGCCACGCCGCGCACGCGCCCGCGCGCCGCCGCCGCCGCGCGCGAGGTGGGTGGGAGAATCTTGTTATCCAGGAAACCACCGCAAGCAAAAAGATGCAAGAATGCACCTACCGTGTACCGATCTACGACATTGTCGCGGAGACTTACTAAACGTAATCTCTTTTTGGCCCCCTTGGTGCAGCGGCGCCACGAGCTACGTGTCCGTGAGATGGCACCAATCTGCAACGGCCAACAACGCCGCGGCCACCAGCGGCGTGAGGGCTGCCGCCGCCCGTCCCGGGCACCGCCAGCTTCTCCCCGCCGCCGCGGCGTAGCGGCCGAGGTCTGGACGCTGCCCGATGCGTGCAGCGCGATGCACGAGACGGGCGAGGTCGACGGCGTCCAGGAGCGCCGTGTTTGCTCCCCCGGCGCGGCGGGCTGTGCCGAGGTCCCACCTCCGCCGCCTCACCCAGCGCGCGTCGCCAATCACCGCCACTGCAGCGCTCGGGGAGCCAGCCTCCAACGCGACCGTCTGGAGCTGCCCGTGGGCGCAGACGCAGAGGTCAAACAAGAGGGCCTCGCTCTTGCCTCGAACACAGAAGCTGAGACGGATGGCGCCGCTCGACGAGCGCTCGAGCCGCTCGACCGAGCACGACAGTCGTAGCGTCCCCGGCCTCAGACTTCGAGCCAGCAGCATCTGCAAGCCTTGCTGCGGATATCGGGCACCGTCGTCGTCCCCACTGCTGCTTCTGGAGGCCGCGCCGCCGCGACCGCCGTGCCCTCGCAGCCTCGTAGCCTGGCCTGCGAGCCCTAGCTCGTCGAGCACGGCCTCCGCGGCTGGCACTCGGATGTCTCCCGACACCTGAGGATTGTCGAGCGCCTCGGTCTGCTCAAAGACGACAACATTGCAAAGATTGGCCTGCTGAACGGCGCGCGCAAATGCAAGTCCCGAAAAGCCGGCGCCAATCACGGCCACGCGCATACACACTATTTTGCTGGCGAGCCGGATGCCGACACACCAAAACGCGGGCGGACTCGTGAGCTGTAGGGTTCGGCAGGGTTCGGCCAGGCTGGGTATTCGGCGGGTGACCTGTGAATGACCGCACTGTGACTACCAACTCCGTTTCTTGAGGTCGAGCGAGTGGTCGGCTCTTTCTTTTCGATTGTAATCCTCGAGTCCATAGACACCTCACTAGACCCCACATACGGTCTCGTCCGTGCCTCGCAGGCCGGTGAGATTGCTAGAGGTCGAGCAAGCTGCTCTAGCCTCACATGTCACTTCCTGTCGTCTGTTGTTTGAGTTGTGCCCTTCCTTGTTTGTTTGTGCCCTTGGCACCGTGGAGTGCTGGGGGGGGCGACAGGGAGGATGTGGCCCTGAGTTATGTGTACGCCGACTCAGGGTGTGTGGCAGCCAGCTGGCTGTGTGTCTTGTGAGCCTTTTGTGTCTGTGTGTCGCTCGTGCGTGTCGTCATCATCTGTCCAGCGTCCACCCATACCGCGTTGGTGTCCAGTCCGAGCCTGGCTGTTCTTCACCTTTCTACCTACCTACCTACTCGAGTTGGGAGAGAGAGATTGGAGAGAGATTTTTAGCTTCCGGTGATCGTCCTTCCAAGACCCTTGCGCCTTGGCCTTGCTCTCCAAAAGACTTAGAGCTCTTGCTTGCCGCTCTTCTGTCTTCTCAGACTCAGTCTCTTCTTGTGACCCAGCTTGTGACGGTGCGTGTGTACACGAGCGAGGAGTGAACACTGAACAGTGATCCGGAGCCGGACGCGGGACGGATATTGTCGATTGAAGAAATCACACACCAAGATCGTTCAGGGCGGGGACACATGTCCCTAAATCCCACCTCGTCATCAGAGTTTCACCGTTTTCTTATTTCTACGGCTCTGACCTTTTTTACACGCATTACGCATACGCTTGGGCCTTGGCGCTTGGGCGTTGGGGGGGAGCTACACACATGCCTCATGCGACATGGCAGCCCTACCTACTTTAGCCTAACGTGTAGTGTACACATTCTCACATACGTTCTCCCCCCCCCCCCCCCATCTCGCACATGCAGTTCCCGCTACCTAACGCCGCTGCGCGCGTACACATACACAGTACACAAACCCTGAGCGGCGTTCCGGAGCGTACCCGTTTCCCGATGCGGCCACGAATCGGTGCCACAGCGTCAGAGAGACAACCTATCTAAATTTCCCGCCTGGCTTTCTCGGGCTCGCCTGCCGTGTCTGGCCAAGTGCCGCGCCTCACTTCGGCGGCTGGCCCGTCGCACGCATCACAAAGACGACCTTCCAGTCCCCGCCCTTCTTCTCCAGCGTAGCGGAGAAGACGGCATAGTCGTCGTTCTCGTCGCCCTTGTAGATGAACTTTGAGTGCTTCGAATACGTCGCCACGGCTGCGTTGCCGCCCGCAAAGATACGGACCGAGTCGATCGAGACGAGTTCGTCGGATTCGATGACGACGTCCTCCGACGCGAACATTGTCGCCCACTCCGCTTTCGACAACGGATTCCCGCTCGGGCGGATCATCTGCACGTCGTCGTCGGCAAAGAAGGTTTTCCAATGCGCGTTGAACTTTCCAATGTCGAACTGGAGGTCGTCTCCGACCAGGCACTCGAACGCGTTCTCCTGGTCCTTGCACATCGCCGTGATGAACGTCCTCACTTCCTCCGCCATGGTTTTGAGCTTTCGGTGGGCTCCTGCAGCGGCGACGGCCGGCGGCGGGTAAGGCGGTGGGCGGTGGCGGAGCGCGAGAAAAGCGAAGCGGGGAGGGAAGCAGCGCATGCACGCCTGCTCGCTCACTCAAGTCGGCGTGAGCAGAGAGAAAGAAAAACGTTTATTTATTAACAACGAAGGCGCTCTAAAAAAAGAAAAAGTTGGCCTGGGCGAAGAACGCCGGTCTTTCTTTCTTTCTTTCGACGGTGTCGGCTGTCGGGAGGGACTACACGAAGGGACGGGCCCGTCCGCGCAACTAGACTAGCTAGGCGACACAGGCACCCCCACGGCGGCCTGCGAAAGAGGCCGTCTGCGGATTGCTTGAAAGAAAGAAAACGTACAGCGCAAGGGAGGATGGGAGGGCGCTGCGCCAGACTTTAGTTTTCTTCTCGAACCCAAGGCGGAGTTCGTCATCCAGGCTGACGACACGTCGATTAGGGCGGCCAGCGCTGACGCCGAGAATGTGCACAAAGGCGCTCAAGGCGAACAGGAAGGCGCTCTGCAACACGGTGTCCAACGTGAAGAAGGTGAAGTACTTTCGGCCTGGAGGCGGAGTGGAGGGCATCCCGGCGGAGCAGCTCGAGATGCAGGGCGGTGAGCTCGTCGGCCTCAAGCTAGTCGGCGTGTACTTGGCCCCGGACACGGAGGCCGGGCGGAAGTGGCAGCGCGACAACCTCTCGGCTGACTTTACGGCGCGCTTCTCGGTCCTCGAGAGGGTCGACCAGGCTTCGAGACGACGACAAGAACCACGATGTCCGGCAGCTGCGGTACTCGATGATGCGCTGCCGCAGCTCAACGCCGTACTACTGGATGCGCACAATGTACCCGTGTGTGGTCCGGCCAGTGCTCGAGGAAGTGGTGGAGCCGGCGCTCAAGAAGTCGTTCGTGCAGCTGGCTGAGGCGGGCCACAGCCCGCAGGAGCTAATCGACCAGGCCTGGGCGGAGGCCCAGCAGGACGGGCGCTTCGGTGGCTGCGGCCTCGGCGGGCAACGCACAAAGGGCGGATGCGAGCTTTGCGGCAGCTGTCCTCTCGGTCTACCCGTCACTACGTGACACCGTCGCACTGCGGGGCATGCCCCTCTCCCCGGTGGCAGGGGAAGAGACAGTGCCGATGCTGCAGCACTTTGCGCAGCACTACAATGACATCAGCCAACGGCGTGGCGATGTCGCGCGCATCTACGCGGTGCGTGCACAAGACAAGGAGTTTGGCCTCTGCCACACGGACGAGCTTGGCTGCTTCTGTCCGTCCATGCTGCCGTCGGCGCAGCGCATCCCGCCTATTGGCGACCTTCACGCAGCAGAGCACCTCTCCAGTCCCGAAACAGGGCACGCTCGCTGCTGTCGGGGCCCACGAAGCGTGGATCGCGTGCCTGGCGGCGTGCGAGGAGATGGACAAAAACACGCCGCAGTCGGAGGCGATTAAGTCCAGGGAGGCGACTCGCTACATCTCGATCTCCCAGTTCGGCGCCGCTGGATGGCTCGACATGCGCCCTGATGGACTCCACCACACGAAGATGGTGTCGGCGATGTTCCTGACGGCGATACAGCGCAGGCACGGGCTCTACTTGTCGGTGATTGCCCCCACTTTCGTCGAGAAGGCCGCCGCGGGCGTGCACGTCACGGTGGGAGAGTACAAGGGCGACTCCCTCGCCAACTCCAACAAAGGCGACCGCACCTCCAAGCACAATGGGGTGCTAAGGGCCGCCCAGAATGCCATCCGGGCGCGCTCGGTTGGCAGCATCATCCTCGGGGAGAAGGAAAAGCCCGAGGTGACGCGGCACGTCAACGACACGTCCGTGACTGACATCTGCGAGCTCGGCGGTGACTTCGCCACGATGCGGGACGTGCATTACGAGGTCAAGTGCTGGAACCCGCTCATCAAGTCGACGACGTCGGGGAGGGGCTCGTGGGACAAAGGTGGCAATGTGGCGTCGGTGGGCCACCTCTACGGGTTTGTGGAAAGACGCTGGACAAGGCGTTGACGGCGGTCGTGGGGTGCAAGGAGCGTGGCCGTCAGGTGGACGGGCCGCTCGACCACTCGACTGGAAAGGGATGGGTCAAAGACCACGCCCCCGTATGGAGACGGGTGGGTCAAGAAGAATGCAGGCTGCCGGTGGATGGGGGCGCAGTACTACGATGCGAAGTGGATCAAGAAAGCCATAACGCGGCTAGTGCTCGTGGAAACTTTGGGTGGCATTGCGCCGCCCACCAACCAAGGAAGCGGCGGGCACCAAAACACGGACCGGACGGTGTACGGGGCGGCGTCGGCGAGCGCCTCCTCCTTCGTCGTCCACCACACGCAGCAGGTCTCCATGGCGGCGGTGGCGGGCGACGCCGAGAACATCAACAAGCAGGCGGCCAGGCGCGCGCAAGATGCGCACCAACTGGATCAAGAACAAGCAAACGGCGGACGGCTTCTTGCGCTCAGCCGCAGTGGAGGGCGCCCGTACCGCCTAGCTCCGCGGACTGGCCCCTCCACCCTTCACGTACGGATCTCATGTAGTCCCACAATAAGCTCTGTCCTTCACCCAGTCTGGTCGTGGTCGAGACCGAGGTGTCGAACTGAGAGCCACTACTGGAGGCTACCTCCGGCCACCGCTCGACTACCCACGCACATGGCCGGTCCTGTGGCTTGCCTGGACTCGCTCAGAAGCCTCAATTCGCGCACACCTTTGCTCTCTGGCTCCCGCGAGTGCGTTCAGGCCACTCAAGCAGGCGACGCCGAGCACCCGCAGCGCATCTCGCCGGGGCGCCACCTATCGACCCGACTGATTGGCAGCATCAAAGCCGACCCCATGACGGTCCTTCAGTCCACGAGATAGGCAGATGCGCCCTGATCTCGGTCCAAGACGGCCAACGCTGTGTCCGGCACCTGCTGGCTGCTTCACGGGGATGCCCCCCCCGGACACATGCTGCAGCCCCGAGTGGATGTATTGGTCGATTGTGGGTCCCACAAGACTACTCTAGTAGGGGCCGGGCGCTTGAGCGTCGGCGGTACACCTGTGCAGATGTTGCACGGGTGAAATGGCTCCTCGTACAGGGTAGGGGGCAGGTGGTGGGTTTGAGTGTCGTGAGTGCTTGCAGCCGCGAGTGCAGCACCGTTTGTGACTCCCATGGATGCAGTTGGGTGGGGCACGGTGCTGGGGGGCGGTCCGGTGCGCCACAACAGCCTCCCCGGCTGACCCCCATCCAGTTCGACACCTCCATCCTGACCGTGGAACCCCAACTTCAACCGGTCATATCTCGGGCGGACTGGCACCTCAGGAGCTCATCCTGGGCGGTTTTGGGGAGTCTTGGGGGTGTACTTGAAGGTGGTAAAAAGAGTTTTGCACCGCAGCTTAACCGGCGGGCGTGCTTTGAAGCGAAAAAAAGAAAGGTTTTATCGCTGTCGCGTGCGCTTTTCTCTCACCCTGCAGCGCGTGTGCGAGGGCCAGCTCGAATGGCAGAGGGAGATCCGCAAGAGCTGACGCAAGAAGGGTCCGACGCCCAGCCTGCGGCGAAGCGCGCAAAGATTGATGCAAGCGACGCTGCCGCGCCGCCACCCGCGACGCATGATCCGAGCGCAGCCGCCGCCGCGCCGCCGCCCGCGACCAACGCTGAAGCGCACGACACCGCCGCGGCGCCGGCCACCGGCGAAGAGCGAGCGGCGCAGCGCGACGAAAGCGCCCCCTCTGATGCCACCGTGGCCCCACAGGACGACGGGGCGAGCGGCGGGCCAGAGCCGGAGCAGCCGCCGCCCGCGTCGACCTCTCTGTCGGCTGACCCGCCAGCAGCCCCGGTGCTAGCGCCGCCGCCGGCTCCGGTGCTGGCGCCGCCGCCGGTGCTGGCGCCGCCGCCCATCCCGCCGTGGGGGCAGGCCGCGCCACCTGGCGGCGCGGCGACTGCGCCCGCCCCGGCCGCGCCGGAGGGGGCGATCTCGAACGAGGACCTGGTCGCGCTGCTCAAGCAGCGGGAGGCTGCGCGGGCGTCGCGCGACTGGTACATGTCGGACCAGCTCCGCACGACGCTGGAGGTGCCTCCCGCCGCAGCCCCCCCACTCCCTCCCCCCTCCTCGCCTCCCCCCCTTCCGAAGGGCCAACCCACGCTTGAGCGGTGCGGCCCCTCCTCACCGCCGCGCGTCCGCCACCCGCCCAGTCTCGCGGCGTCACCGTGATCGACGCGCGCCGCGGCTCGGGCATGACGGTCGGCTCGTGGACCACGACCGACGGCCGATCGGGCGTCACGACGGGGCAACCCCCAATACACTCCCCACGACGGGGCACCCCCACACACCCTCCCCTTCGTTCCCTCCCCCCCTCCCGGCCCCTTCCCTCCCCCTTCCCAACCCCCCCTCCCTTCCCTCCCTCCCTCAGGCCAGACTACTTCGCCCCTCCGCCCGCTGGCATGGCGCGCCTCTAGATACAGACACGCCAGTCTCTGCGCAGCAGCCACCGTGCCGGAGGGCCGCGCGGTCAGCTCTCGCGCTCCAGCCGCCAGTGTGCCAGAGGGGGGCCCCTTTGGAAGGGGGGGGACCCCTCAGTCCTGGAGGGGGGGGACCTTTTGCCCGCCCGACGCCCCTTGTTTTAGCCCCCCCCCCCCCCCCTCTCCCCCTCTCCCTCACCCCCCCCAGGCGGCGCAGGGCGGCGGCATGGCGCCTCCTCCATACGGAGGGCCGCCGGCGGGCGGCCCGCCGGCCGGCGGCCCGCCAGCGTCCGGCGGGGGTGACACTTCGCACTTTGGGAGCGGGTACGTGACAAACGAGGAGCTCGGCGGCCTGCTCAAGGAGCGGGCGCAGGCGCGCGCCTCCAAGGACTACGCCAGCGCCGACCGGATCCGGAGCCAGCTCGAGGCGAGAGACGCAGCCGAGATGCAGCCGAGACGCAGCCGAGATGCAGCCAAGATAGACCGCCCACCCGTAGCCAGCTCGAGGCGCGGCCGCACACCACCGTCCCGTGCGAGTCGCTCGTCGCACGGTCCGAGTCCTCTTCTCGCCAGGCGCTGAAGCTAAGAATATTTTATGTTTTCTTCTCGCCAGGCGCGCGGCGTGCACATCACCGACCAGACTCGCTCCTGGGCGGCAAACGACGGCCGCTCGGGCTCCACTTCCGGCCCGAACTTCTTCGCCCAGCCGTTCGGCGGCGCGGGCGGAGGGCAGGCGCCGCCGCCGCCGCCCTACGGGTTTGGAGGCGGCGGAGGCCAGTTTGGCGGCGCTCCACCGCAGGGCCCGCACGGCGGCGGCGGCGGCGGCGGAGGCGGAGGCATGGCCGACCACGTGATCCACGAGAAGCTGGTTGAGCGCGAGAAGGCGCGGGTGGCGCGCGACTACGCCAAGTCGGACCGGATGCGCGACGAGCTGCAGGCGGCGGGCATCTTCGTCAAGGACAGCGAGAAGCGCTGGAGCGCCAACGACGGCCGCTCAGGCCCGATCCCAACCGCGAGCGGCGGCTACGGAGCCGGCGGCGGCGGCGGCGGCTACGGCGGCGGCGGCGGCGGTTTCGGCGGCGGCGGCGGCTACGGCTACGGCGGCCAGGGCTACGGCGGCCAGGGTTACGGCGGCCAGGGTTATGGCGGCCAGGGTTACGGCGGGTATGGCGGCGGGTACGGCGGCGGGTACGGCGGGGGCCCGCCCGGCTACCAGCCTCCTCAGGGAGGCGGCGGCCCGCCGCAGCCTCCTTCGCAGGGCGGGCCAGGCTTCGGCGGCCAGGGCGGCGGCGGGTACGGCGGCTACTAGTGGGCTCGCAGCAGCCGCTCAAACGTCGCGTTTTGGCCATTGCTCTGCTACGCCGCCGACTGCCCCTCTTCCGAGCCGGTGCGTGGCGGCGAGCCGCGGCCATTGCCGCTGGTGCGGTGGCGGCGGCAGCGTGCATCGGCAGGCTGCGGAAAAAGCATGGGGAAAAGGCCCGCGTCACGTCGAGGAGGGCGGGGGGGTACATACAGGGGTGACGCAGCGGAGAAAGAGATTCAGCACCTGCACCTGTTTTAGTTTTTCGCGCCGATCCGAGTAGCTAGAAAAGCTAGCGTGTGAACCCAAAGACAGTTCGCCTGACTGCCCTCGAGTGACTGCCATGAGTGTCGCGAGAGAGATTACTAACCAAAAGAGAACGGGTTCGGCCACTGAATAAACTACGGGGTGTGGACCCTGAGTTGACCAGGGGTTGTGCGCTGGGCCCTCCTGCTCGGCTCCAGCCAGTAGACAAGTCTTGTCATCAACAGAGTAGAAGGATCTGACCTCGGGGCCGATGTGACCAAGCGCTGGTAGCGTGGTTTGACCTCACACCCATGGTCTCACAGTGTGCCGGCAGTCGCCGAGCAGTGTCGCTCACCAAGCCTCAGCACAAGTGACTGAGGGCCAGTGAGGGCGAGCCCATCGCTGTCACAGCTGTGGCAGCCGCACAATAGGCTGTGTCAACTGTGCAGAGTGTGTGAGCAGCAGAGGAGCTGCTCTCCAGGCTTCTGTCGCAAAGAGCTGCATGCCACCGAAAGCGCTGTCGAGGTTCGCCGAGCGCGGCGAAATCCGGGGACGCCGTCACCGACGAGCGCGTTGGAGTATTCACTCCGGACAAAGACGGGGACACAGCGGACGGTGCGGGGTGTGTCCCCGTCATAGCGGCGAGGCGCGGGACCGTCTGTGGCGAAGTGTGTTGCGTCCCCGGATTTCGCATTTCCCTCAACACGTCCGCTCCCTCTACAGGGGGGGGGGGGGGAAGCGGAAAGCGGGGCGGCGACCCCCACCGCAAGGCCCCGAAACGCGGAGGGGCTTGGGGGTGGGTGGGTTTCTGGGTTGGTTGGGAAAGCTCTCCGCCGGGCGGGGCGGGGCCCCAAGGGCCCAGGCACATGGAATACGTGGTTCAGAGCACAGGCCGTATTCACGGACGAGAGCCCTCAACCCACAAATGGCTGCCGCCTCCCCACGGGTACCCCTGCCGACAAACTGTTCCATCTGCCCCGCTGAGAGACGCAGCACTCGGTTAGGTTTAGATGGCAGCGCAGTCGGGAGTGTGGGCCGCTGAGGCAGATCCTCAAGCTTGACTCGATTTGGTCCCATGAGTGTGAGATCTGGGTTGTGCGTTGAGGCGCTGTTCATTCACACATAAACACAACCCCGGAAGACGCACAAGCTCAGACAGTCGAGAAAGGGATAGACAGCAACGACAGTCAGAAGTCAGCGCTGGGCATTCACACAAAAACAGATTACACGAGCACGGATGGAGACACGCACGAGCGGTCCGGGAGCAAGGCGAATGCAGCCCGATGCTCCATCCACATTCCATGCCACAGTCCTCCCTCGCGTCTGACGCCGCCGCCCCCGATGCTCCAGCGACCTCCCTGTCCCCCGACGACGCCGCAAACACGCTCGCAGTCGCGCTTGCTCTCACGGAGCTTGCCTCCGCCGCCTCTCCTAGCGCCGCTTCCGCCGGCCACGCCGCCTCTGCCCTCCGCCTCCTCAGCCGCCGCTCTTGATGCCGGGATACGATGTTTGAGCCCAGCGCACGAAGCGTGCCGCGTGGGAGACGTGCTGAGTCTGCGCGCCGTGTGTCTCGACCACCACTCCCTGTCGGCAGCTGGACCGGCTGGCTTGACGCCGGCCCATATCGCTGCATTCGAAGGGCACGCGAGCTGCCTTCGTGCGCTCCACGAACTTGGCGCCGCGGCGAGTCTGTCCGCGACGGACGAGTACGCCCGCACGCCCGCACACCTCGCGGCCGAGGAGGGCCACGCCGACTGCCTGCGTGTCCTCCACGAGTACGCCAGCTTGAGCCTCACATCGGCTGACGCCATCGGCTCCACGCCCGTACATTTGGCGGCCGAGGCCGGTCACGCGGGATGCATCCGCGCGCTCTTCGAGCTCGGCGGCCACACCACCAGCTTCGCGGCGCCAGACGGGAGCGACTTCACGCCGGCACACTACGCTGCTCAAAATGGCCACTCTGACTGCCTTCGGGCGCTGCACCAGGCCCTAACCGCGGTGATACCGCCGCAGCTGTCGGCTCTGCGGCGCATCTCCGCCACCGCCACCGCGCGCGCGCGGCCCCAGGCCTCGGCGTGGCAGACCGTGCGCAGCGAAGAGCTCCGCGCCAAGCTCTCCCTCTCGTGGTGCCCTCCCGGCTGCCTCGGCTCGCCTGCAGAGGCTGCCTGCACTAACGGCCACAAGGCTCGCGCCGCCCCGCGATCCCAACACTCGGAACCATCTCGGAACCATTTTGGGACTATCTCGGAACCGTTTTGGGACCTACATGCCTCCGCCCCTCCGCCCCCCAGGCTGCATTCCGGGTGCTCGCCGGCATCGGCGGCGCCGTCCGCTTCTGGGAGAAGCTCGCGGGAAGTCCCGGACGAATCGACACCGACTTCCCGTGGCTCCTCTCGGACCCGTCCCTGCTCAACCTGCGGGCCAAGCGAGCCTGGCTGCACGCTCGTCTCGACGCGCTGGTGGGCTGCAACGCCGCACTGGCCATGGAGAGGGACGCGCTCACGCTGCAGCTGGTCGCCCGCCGCAGCAGCCCGCTCGACGTGTCGGAGTGGCGCCCGGGCGACAGAAAGGGGGAGTGGGGCCGTCACGGGGACGTCGGGGCGTGCGCCGCCCTGAGCGTCGACGAGGCGACGGGCCGGCCCTTCTCCGGCACGGCGGCGACCGCGCTGGACGTGCGCTACCAGGGCGAGGCGGCGGCGGGCGACGCGCTGCGACGCGAGTGGTTCGAGCAGGCGACGGCGGAGATGGTGGACCCGCGCCGCGGCCTCTTCTTGGCGAGCCAGGACGGGCTGCGGCCCAACCCGCACTCGGCCTCCTCGGCGGGCGAGGACCACCTCTCGTACTTCGCGCTGCTCGGCCGCATCTGCGGCCTCGCACTGTACCACCGGGAGACGGTCGGCGTGGCGTGGTCGCACGCCTTCCTCAAGGCCGTTTTCGGCTACCCGCTCAGCTTTGACGACCTCGCGTCGGTCGACCCCGCGCTGCACCAGTCGCAGAGGACGCTGCTCGCCATGCCGGCCGAGGATCTCGGCGCCATGTGCCTCTGCTTCGAGGTGCGAGGCCCGGAGGGCCTCCTGCCCGAGGCTGGCGGAGGCGAGCCTCCCCTACCGTCGCAGGTGGACGGCGACGAGGCGGTCATATACGAGGAGTCGTCCAAGCGGCGGCGCGCCACTGAGCTCAAGCCGGGAGGGGCCGACGAGCCGGTCACCGCAGCAAACGTCGAGGAGTACCTGCGGCTGTACGCGCAGCACAAGCTCCTCGGCGCCGTCGAGCCGCAGGTCGCCGCCTTCCGCGCCGGCCTCGCCGTCTTCCTCGACGGGCGCCCTTTCGCCTCCCTCCGCACCTGCTGCACGGTCGCCGAGGCGCAGTCGCTGCGAGGCGGCGAGGCGGCGGTCGGGTGTTCGTCCGAGTTCACCCGAGCTTCGCCCGAGACCAGGTCCAGCTGCTACTGTGCGGGGAGGCGGCCATCGACGTCGACGACTGGGAGCGACACACGCGCTACGACCCGCCCGAGTACGCACACTCTAGGGGCGTCGCGTGGTTCTGGCGCGCGGTGCCCGTTCCGACGTTGAGCTCGGGCCATCTCGGGTAACCTCGGCGATCTCGACATCGCAGGCGCGCGGTGCGCGACCACCTGACGGAGGCGGAGCGCGCGCAGCTCCTCTTCTTCGCCACCGGCGCAACGCGGCCCCCTGCTACCGGCTTCGCCTCGCTGATGGGCTACCGTGGCGCCGAGCAGCGCTTTACGGTGGCGTGCATTGGCGGCGGCGCCACCGGCCGACTCCCCACGGCGTCGGCTTGCTTCAACCGTCTCTATTTGCCCGAGTACTGCTGCGAGGCGCACCTGCGGGCCAAGCTGCGGCTGGCGCTCGCGGGGGCGCGGGGCTTCCACGAGGCGGCGGTGGCGCAGCCGACGACCGGCACCGAGGTGACGGTGCAGGCGCCGCGTCGCTTCTGGGGTGTGGGTTGAGGAGGTTGGCGTGTGCCGTCTCGAAAGTTGACCTGAGTGCGGAACGGCCACGAACGGAGAGTCTCGAGTGGACAGAGAGACACACGTAGAGCACAACACCGTCGTGTTACGCTTTATTCCACAGCGTGATTAGTACATTGATAATTGATCGCATGTGTGCACATGTACATGTGCATGCACATGTGTAGTCGAGTGTCTTCCACACAAACCCCCTGAGGCTGAGACGTGAGAGTGAGAGCCCGGCAGCGCGGCACCCTGTTACGGCTAGCTGTTTTTTACGCGCGTGAGCCCCCATGTGAGGGCGTGTTCCAGTTCGCCGACCCACAAAGCACAATCTAAATCATTCATAAAAAAGAGAGCCGCATGTAGCCCACAACCCCCCCCTAGTCGCCGACCACACCCACAAAGAACCCTGCACGCAAAGACCGCAGGGCCCATCAGGGCGGGGACCTGTTCCTTTTTACCCATCTCCTAGTAGAGGTGTCCGTTTTATTTATTTATTTACAAACCCCCCCCCCCAAGAGCCAAGTCCTCAGCTCACCTTTTGGGAGGCGTACCTGTGTCTGTCGTCTCACCTTACAGTATTACATGCACTGCAACGGGAGTGCGCCTGGCCCTGCCGCTGCCCCCGGGGGAGCTGCGCCGCGCCCACAGGTGACAGGCAAGAGCGATACTCCCCTCTCCTGGAGCGAGAGCGGGCTCAGAGAGCTCCAGCAGGAGTCCTCAGCTATGGACCGCTCACACGAGCGGTACCTCGTCTTGCGGCTTGCTAAAACCGAGGTTGGGAGCGCCGCTGCCGCCGCCGCCGCCTTCGTGCTTGGCCTTTTGGACCATGTTGTTGCCGATGTAGCTCGCCGCACCTGCGACGACCAGCAGGGCGATGCCGTACACGGGGTTGTAAAAGAGCCAGGCGATGGCGGTGGAGAACGCCCAGAGCCCGAGCGCAAAGACTGCGGCCACACAGGCGACCATGCACTGCGCGACACCGGCGATGTACTCGCCGACGCACGGGACGATCTGGGGCGCAACGGCAAGAGGGCCTCCGATCATCATGAAGCCCGCAAAGAAGATGCCGTAGCATAGGAGCCGGACCAGCATCGTCATCGAGTCGAGGTTCGCCTTGAGCACGCCAAACATCTCTGCTGGCGAGAGCGCCTTCCCCATATAGTACTCCAGCTCGCGCGGCTTGCACGGAGGGAACCACCCACCGCCCGCCTCGTACGGCTCGAGGGCGCCTGGCGAGCCCGCGAGCTGCTTACCAATCCCCGAGACGCTCTCCGCAGTGTACGCCTGCATTGTCAGCTGGCGGTCTCCCAGCTGCGCCGAGTTTGGGGTGTAGATGCGGCCGTCCCCAGTCTTATAGTAGTAGACCGCACCCTCCGTTGGCCCCGTCTGGCTCATCAGCCCTGCCATCGGGTCGTTGCTCTGAACACCCTCCTGCGTCTGCGCCCAGCCTGCAGGCGCCGGGATATCGATCGGCGCGGGGCCCATGTCCATCGTCTGTTGCAACTTCTCCTGGGTGAGCGCAAACTGGGCGACTGGTTCGCCTGCCATAGGAAACATACCATCCGCTGAGTTGGGTCGCGTGGATGAGCTTCAAGACGGGCGCCCGCACCGAGGTCAACACTCGGCGCGTAGCTCTGCGAGAAGCCCAGCCCAGAGGTGTCGAGCGACAGATCCGACGCCGACGGTTGCGAGTTCAGGCAATTGGGGCCGGGGTCCTTCGCGTTTCTGCCGCAAGTGTAGCGGATATTATGTTGATCGATACGCGGCGCCTACATGTCGGTTGTCTCGCGTGATATTGGGTGTGCGTCAGAGTGCCTCCCAAAGTAAGGCGCAGGCCCGCCATGCTCGTCCAAGTCTTGGTATAGCAAAAGCACGTGTACGTTGTCGTCCCGCCAAGGTTGTCCTTCTCCTCCTGGCTGTAGGTTTGTTCGGTCCATAGATACATCTGGACTGTCGAGGTCACCTGAGCACGCGGTTGCTCCTGAGCAAAGGCTGCCACGCGGGGTGCTGGGGCACCGTAAGCGCGCCGCAACCTTCAGTGCACCGGGGATGGTCGCGCCCGTGACGCTCTCAGTGACCTCCGCCGTGTCCAGCTGGACGGGACAGGTGTAGTGGACGAGATCGCCCATGTTGGCCGCATTGTTCTCGCACGCCGTGTCAACGATGATGGCCTTACCCGCGTCAAAAGCGGCGGAGGTGCACACCGAGTTGCCTGAGGAGCAAGTGGGGTCGCGTGTGGGAGAGATGTGGTGTGCTGCCCCTCCCATTAAGGTTGCGCTGCCCTCGTTCCAGACCACAAGCCAGCAGCCAACTGGCAGCAGGAGAAAACCTGTGTACACGTCATGCACAACATGTCACTTGTCGCAGAGAGAGGCTGTGTGGCGGACACGTGTTGGACGTAGCATGCGCTATGACAGCTCAGCAAGGTGTGGAGAGTGCGCCGATAAGGACGCCGCAGAAGGAGTGAAGCAGCTTCTGGCAGTAATTGGTGTGGCTCGTGGGGTTGAACTCTTCGTCCATTGCGCCCGCAGTTGAGAGTTGTCCGGCTCGCTCCCGCGCGGAGCGACGGACGCGAGCGGACCGACCCGGACTTGCGTGTTGCGACTTCCGTTTTCATGCGGCAGCTTATTTTCTTTCTTGACTTGAGGGAGGACCACATCTTTTATCCTTCTCCTAATGTGTCCCTCATCTGTATTAGGAGGACAGGAATGCGCAAAAAATGGACATAACAAAAGAACGCCTAAAACACGCCACCACACACGTATGTGCCGCAGCAGACCGCCACGGCCCTCGCGAGATCGCCCGTTGATCGCCGACGGGTAGCGGTCCACACGGGATATGTCGCTGCTCATTGGTTGCCAAACTCGGGGCGGTAGCCGCGGTTTGAGGTGCCGAAATCGGGTTGCCGCAGCTCTGAACGCTGCCCGAACTCGAGGGTAGTGCCGTCCGAGGTGCGTGTGTCTACGCTCGGGCCACTCGCCGCGCTGAGGAGCGTGCAGAGAAAGACGACACCAAAGAGGCCTCCGAGCAGCGTTTGCGGTGACGCGTCGGTCAAGTCGGGAAGCTGCACGTTCTTCGCCTCTCTCGCGACGTCGGTGAGGCCGTCCTTGAGAGGCTCTACCGCGCGCGAGATGTCTGTCTTCAGCTTGAACTTTGTCGCACCGCCCTCCGCCTCCAGCCGACGCGCAAACTCTGCCGCGAGCGCATCCCCGTCTTCGCCAGTCTTCTTTGGCTCGTCGTCTGAAAGGGCTGCGCGCGGCGCTCGAGAGCGGAACGGCCGCGCGACCGAGGGCGGAGGGACCGAATGCAACGCAGCAGCGAGGCTGACAGCAGAGATGATGACGAGCCAGCGCATATGTGTTTACAACACCAGAGCCAAAACGAGCTTTCCCCGAAACCGCGTGAAAAGAATTCTTCTTTCTGACACGTGGATGCCACTCACCGTTCTCCCATCCCTCCCTTGGGTTGTCTGTTTTCTTTCTTTCTTTTTGCCACTCACTGGCACGACAAGCGCGGACTGGCGCGGACTGGCACAAAGAAAGAAGAAGGCGCCACTGCCCTTCCTGATCGTCCTTCCAAAATCCTTCGGGTCACTCCTCATCGCAAACCCTGTCAGCAGTCCTCCTCCGGGAATGTACGTACAAGAGCCACATACATTGAAATCCTGCTCGTGCAGGTGGGGACCCTGTCTCCTCCCCCATCCCTCGTTTGGGGTGTCTATTTTCTTTCTCTCTTTCTTTTTCCTTGTCTGCT